AGTGTTTGGGAAGGATGTGGCTAATGAATGCACAGTACGTTAAGGGTTTGAGAAGTTCCATTTTGGTGATGAAAATGAGCCACATGGGCGACCAAGGTGGATAATGATGAGCTGAAAGTTATAGTGGGAGCGAATCTATCTCAATCTATGGGTGACTTAGCAGCAAGGTTTGACGTACTATTCCAAGAATACTGAGCTATTTGAAACAAATGGGCAAGGTAAAGAAGCTGGATAGATGGGTTCTGCATGAATTAAATGAGAAACAGAAGAGGAATCATCTCGAAGCTTGCCTTTCTTTGCTGTCACAACATAAAAGCCAACCATTTCTACACTGTATTGTTATGTGTGATGAAAAATGGATTCTTTTTGACAATCATAAGCATTTGACACAATGGTTGGATAAAGATGAAGTGCTGAAACACAGTGCAAAACCAAATATTCATCCAAAAAAAGCTAATGGTATGTGTTTGGTGGTCCAGTGCTGGTATTATCCACTACAGTGTCATGAAACCTGGTCAGTTGATTACAGCAGGTGTCTACTGTAACCAATTGGATGAAATGATGAGGAGGCTTGTTATTAAGCAGCTGAGATTGGTTATTAGAGACAGGCCAATCCTCTTAGAAGACAACGCTCGACCACATGTCACACAACGCTGCTCAAACTACAGAATCTGGACTTGGAAACTCTCGGTCATCCACTGTATTCATCAGACCTTGCACCAACTGACTACCACTTCTCCCAGGCTTTGGACCACCTCTTGCAAGGAAAAATATTCAATTCTCAACAAGGTGTGGAAAACACCTTTTGCAATTTTATCACCACTCATTCTCTAGGCTTCTTTGCTGTTGACATAAAGAAGCTACTATTAAGATGGCAAAACTGTTGATAGTTCAGCCACATACTTTGATTAATTGTACTGCTTCTTGTTTGAGATACAATAAACTAAACTTTTGATCAAAAATTGGACATTTCATATTTAATGACCTAATATATATAAACAGCCATTGTTCTCTAGCTTGCTTTCCTTGCTTACTACTCAGGAGTCATGTAGCTCATGGTCAAAAAGATTCTTAGCTTTCTTCATTGCTACCATAGGTAACATCATCCTTGTGAAACCTAAGGCTAGTTTTTGAGATATCTTCCAGGCCCTACATTCCAGTCTGAATGATTGAATGGCTGAGTCACCCAGACCAGTGGCCCATACTAAGGAACTGACTCAACTGATCTTGCAACCCCCCCATCCAGGAACTGACTCAGCACAAGAAGACAATTTTTGTACCCCTATGATTCCACCCTGAACCCAGCCAATCAGTTACCTAGCCCTTTGCACATCAAACTATTTTTAAAAACTCTTTCTCCCAAATTCTTAGAGTAAGGGATGTGAGAAATTCCTCCCGTCTCCTAGAATGGCACACCTGCAATATTAAACTCTTACTCCACTGTAACCCCTGCTGTCTCAGTGTCTTGGCTTCCTCTTGAGTAGAGGGCAATTAACCTGGTTGAGCTGTAACAGCTCCTCCATCTCCAACCTTACAAACCATCTCCATGAAGATTAATTTAAATGAAATGATTGCCAGGATTGTCCTCATGTCCTTACTAGTCTCTACAGATTAGTGAAATCATATTGGGTCCTGACAAAAGATAATTGGCTCTTTCTGATCAATTTTATATTTTTTTGTTATAATTTTATTTATTTATTTACTTATTTTTGAGACAGAGTCTCACTTTGTTGCCCAGGCTAGAGTGAGTGCCGTGGCATCAGCCTAGTTCACAGCAACCTCAAACTCCTGGGCTCAAGCGGTCCTTCTGCCTCAGCCTCCCAAGTAGCTGGGACTACAGGCATGCGCCACCATGCCCGGCTAATTTTTTCTATATATATTAATTGGCCAATTAATTTCTTTCTATTTATAGTAGAGACGGAGTCTCACTCTTGCTCAGGCTGGTTTCAAACTCCTGACCTCGAGCAATCCGCCCACCTTGGCCTTTGAGAGTGCTAGGATTACAGATGCGAGCCACTGCGCCCGGCCTGATTAATTTTATATTAAAAGAGAACATATAGTTGAAGCTAACAGGTTAATTATTTGCATGGATATTGTAAGACATAAAGGAACACAAGTTACTTAATAGTTACTAGAAATTAGTATTATAATACAAATGGCAATGAAGGTAAGCCATTCAATTTATAGGGATATTACATGCTAAGGAAAATTACTTTCTCAGGCAACAATTGGCTGAAACATAAACTTGCAAGGTACATAAATAAGGATATTAATAAATAAGGATATTGTAAAAAAAAAGTGCCAGGATTTGAAAATCTAAGTGCAATTATGCAAGTCAATATTTTAAGTGATATAATTTATGCCAGAATTCCTTGTTTTTCCATTAAAACTAATACTGAAAGGACTATTTTGTTTAATTGTACAGCAAATGTGGATGTAATGTAAGTTCAAAACAAGTTTAGAGCTGATTTAGAGTTTTAGAGTTTAGATTTAGAGATTTAGAGTTTACTGATTCATGTAAACTTGTTAGCTGCTTGGTGTTGTAGGAGTGAGGGGAAACTTCCCCTTCACCCCAGAAGGTATGCTGAAAGATCAACTCACAATAAGGTAGATTAATAAGAGAAAGATTTATTTACCTTTGTACTGTGTGCACAGAAAGAATCATGCAGTGATTCCCCAATTTCCTAATGGGGTCCAGAAATTTATATACTCTCATTTTATAGGGCAGGCGATAATGAGGAATATAGGTAATTCTGTGGCAATAAATGGTTACTGGGGAGGATGGATAGATAGTTGGGAGAATGAATGGATTGTGGTGGGGGTCGAAACAGATTGACTTGTAAATAATTCTCTGTGGAAACTAAATTAACCAAGAGAGCAGGTATTATCTTAAATTGATTTGGGACAGGTCTAGTGTATTCTTGATCTTCTTTCCTGAAATATATTGAAATAACTGGGAGGGGAAGAGAAGTCGATTGCTCTTTTTGATGGGTCTGGTTTTATAAAGATTAAACCAGAGGGAAAGCCCCTTTCAATGCTGGTCATAGATCCCAAGGGCCTTTAATTCAAAATACCCTTTATACCAAGGAGTCATATTTTGGGGTGAAGTTTCCTGAGCTTCTTCAGTGTTTAGTATGGGTTTTCATTCTACAGAATTCCATGGGGTTTCTAGATGAATAACTCAATCTTGTTCCTCGTTAGATTTAAATAATAAAAATGATGCTAAAAAACTATGTGCTCGCCGGGCGCTGTGGCTCACGCCTGTAATCCTAGCTCTTGGGAGGCCGAGGCGGGCGGATTGCTCAAGGTCAGGAGTTCAAAACCAGCCTGAGCAAGAGCGAGACCCCGTCTCTACTATAAATAGAAAGAAATTAATTGGCCAACTGATATATATAGAAAAAATTAGCCGGGCATGGTGGCGCATGCCTGTAGTCCCAGCTACCCGGGAGGCTGAGGCAGAAGGATCACTGGAGCCCAGGAGTTTGAGGTTGCTGTGAGCTAGGCTGACGCCATGGCACTCAATCTATGGCACCAAAAGTGAGACTCTGTCTCAAAAAAAAAAAAAAAAAAAAAAAAACTATGTGCTCTTTCCAGGTCAGGAGTTACTCAGGAGGTTGCTAGGCCTTCCTCTGCCTCCCTTGGGTTTCTGGCAGGAAAGTGTGGAGAGGGAGTAGGTAAACAAGTTCCAATTTCCAGCAGCAGGGAATTAGAAAAATTTTGGTCCCTTTGTGAACCCTTGAATCCTTAGAAAAGTATGCTTTGAAACAGGATTTCTCTTATCTCTTTTTAAAAGCCTTTTTCCTCAAGCGCTTGAATTCTAATAGTGTTTAAAATAGCATTAAAAAATTATTCCTACACTGTGCAAGTGCTAGGCCAGATAAAAAAAATATCTGATACTTGTTAAAAGGGCAAGAAAGGCCTGGCACAGTGGCTCATGCCTGCAATCCCAGCACTTTGGGAAGCAGAGATGGGAGGATCACTTGAGGCCAGGAGTTGAAGACTAGACTGGGCAACATAGCAAGACCCCATCTCTACAAAAAATTAAAAAAATTAGCTGGGCATGGTGGTGCACACCTGTAGTCCCAACTACTCAGGAAGCCAAAGTGGGAGGATCCCTTGAGCCCAGGATTTGGAGGTTGCAGTGATCACACCACTACACTCCAGTCTGGGTGACAGAGCAAGACCAGGTCTCTCAAAAAGCAAGCAAATAAACGAACAAACAAAATGGTAAGGAAGACTTTATTCAGGATATTGCAATAGGTGTCAGGACTATTGCAATAGGGCTTATTCTGAATACAGCAAAGACAGCTGGGGATTGCCAGCCAATGCTGAGAGTGAACGGATCAATATGTGGATGAGACATCAAAGGTGGGAAGATTCTTGCTAAGCCTGTTTAATGGGATTCTTGCTGATGGCAAGCCAGTGTGAGCAGATATCAAGGGTAGGGGATGAGGAATTTTAACCTATATTGAGGGTAATTAGATATTAAGGGTGGGGGGATTCTCACTTAACTGACTTAGCAGGATTCTTTTTTTTTTATTTCGGCATATTATGGGGGTACAAATTTTAAGGTTTCAATAAATGCCCTTTCCCCCCTCCCCCCACAAGTCTGAGTTTCCAGCATGACCATCCCCCAGATGGGGCACATCTCACTCATTGGACTAGGCAGGCCAAAGATGGCCCAAGAAGGAGGCTTGGTCAAAAAGAGAGCTCAGAAGAGGCTCCTGACCAAAGTTTAGCTAACGAGAGTCTTTGTCAGTACCAAGCTGGTTTTCCCTTTATACCGCCAAGCGGCGCCCTTCTCCCCATTCCTCCAGACTGGAGACTTTAAAATAAAATAACGGAATTCAGATCATTAAAATTCTAGGGGGAAAGGTCCCCCTACCCCAAGTTGCGGAGGCCAACGGACTCCAACTCCCATAAGCCCTCGCGGGGCTGAGATCCGACGGCCCTTCTTTCCGCCCCTGAACCTTGCGCCTGCGCGGAAGGTCCTCCGCTGAGAAAAGGGGGCGGGGACAGGACAACGCGCCAGGGGAAGGAGGAGGAGGATAAGACGGATAAGGAGGAGGAGGAGGAAAAAAGAAACCATAGACTTTTACCTTGGCCTAGAGCGGCCCTTAAAGTGCAGACGAAAGGAGGGTGGGCGGGGATCACCCCAGAACAGGCCGCCGGCGGTATAATGGCGACCCGGAATCCCCCTCCCCCAGGTGAGCGGCCAGGGCCTGAAGTGGTATCTGGGACGCGGCTCACAGCTTTCGACCTTGTTCCCGGGGCGCCTCTTCCTTCCCCTAGCCCCAGGATACCTGGAGCTCTATTTTTTTTTTTTTTTTTGAGGCAGCCCCCTTGAGCACCCCTTTCGAGCTAGACTTCTCCCTCCCCTCTCTGCGGAACTCGGACGGGGAGTGACCCCTACCTCAACACACCCCTACCTCCTGTCTTACCTTCACCTTTGGCCCTTCGTCTCCATCTTTAAACCTCTCTCTCTCTCTTTTTTAATACTCGTGACTCTGAAGTGATTTCTCCTCGTGGGGCTCCTGACCGATCACTGATGAAAATGGACTCTGTTCTGACCTTGACCCTACTGAGATTTGGGGGGTGACCCCGCACTGCTGTGTAACTGAACTGGCCCTGGCTCCGTGACCCCAGGCGGGTCCGTGGGTCTTTGGAAAGGAGATGAGGGCATTAGTGTCAGGCTCTTAGTCTTGAGGGTCTCAGCTCAGGAATTGAGTTTAACAAACTCAGTTTTCATCTGGGCATTTTTAGCTGTAGGCCAAAAGTAACAATGAGTTATATGACAGATTTAAAAAAATGTGTGGAACATTTCTGACTTTTGATTGACTCTAAATTTATTTTTTCCATTTTGTATCTTGAAGACTATGAAAGTGATGACGACTCTTACGAAGTCTTGGATTTAACAGAGTATGCGAGAAGACACCACTGGTGGAATCGAGTGTTTGGCCACAGTTCGGGACCAATGGTAGAAAAATACTCAGTAGCTACCCAGATTGTAATGGGTGGTGTGACTGGCTGGTGAGAACAACATCTTTTTCATTAAATTTCATTTGGGGGCCTGACTGCTGCCCTTTTATACATGGGCCAGAGTCACTGTGCACATTCAGTGGGTCTACATTGTTAATTCCAAAAGAGCACTACTTTGAGGCTTTCTCAAAATTATAATTGGTGTAATCTACATTCAGAGGCTTCCCTATTGGGATTGGTGATCTCCTCCATGCCCACCCATTGTTTCACTCCTCCCTCCTCACTCTTTTAATTCCTTTTACATTTTCCCCTTTCTCAAGTTCAGCAGATGTAGTGGATCTGATTCAGTGATGGTAGATAGGAAGAAATATATGAGTTAATTGTATGTAAATTTTTACTTGCTGACAACTGGAAAAACCTGAGAAACTCCCACAGTAGAACTGACCTCTAGGATTGTCAACCCTGTAGAGAGCAGTGTAAAATGTTCAGTAAAAATTATGATCAGATTATGATAATGCTTTGAAGAATAGCTGTAGAAGAACATTGGTTCTATGTTGGAATTAAAAGTCTGATTGCTTACTTTGTAATAATATTGTAATACATTAAGAAGTGGTTAATAAGCATTAGCCTAAACCAGTTAACATTTCAGACCATGTGTTACACAATTGCTACAATGGATCTAATTCTGTTATTCTTTGTATAAAAGGCTGGCCAGGTAATGAGGGGCAAGAACAATCCGACCCTTTATTTTGAAAATGTTCATGACTATAGAGAATTTTTAAAGTTAGGGTGCTTAACTTGTGAATAATCATTTTTTCTTAGATTCTAAGTCAAATTCATCTTACATTGATTTAGTTTACATATTTACATATTTCTACTTGATAGGTATAAAATTGAAGTTTTTGATTTGTATCTTACATGCACTTTGGCACAATGGCACACTCAGCTCTTTGTCTTTTTTGTAAATGCCATTTTATGATACAGACATTCATTGTGAAGATTCTGTGATGCAGATGTGCAATATTTATTCATGATGTGTATTAATGCTGCTGTATGAAGAAAGCCTGCAATTAGAAGAGAGATACCTGTCAGGGCCCCCCAGTCATGCAGCTGATTCTCCACAGGCTGATGGTACCTCTATCCCCATAATTTAGGGCATGGCGCTCTGTTTAAATAAGCTCACAATTTGGTGCCATAGGTCAGTCAATGTGAGTCAGGGCCTAATGCCCAATCTTTAAAGAAACTAAAAAATAGTTGAGAAATGGAATTACCAGTCATTGTGTGGTTTTTCCTTGTAGACAGACATGGTGAGAAGCCTCATAATTGGCAGAAGTTTGCTTGGAAAGCCTAGAGACAGATCAGCACGAGTTAGTAGGTTCATTTTAGTGACTAATGCCATCAAGCAATGATCCATTTGCTTGTGGAGCACATCCCAGGAATATTGTGGAGACCTGGCTGCTGCTTGCCTCTTCTGTTCCCTTTTCTGAGCCTTTGTTGCTGACTCCCCTACTGAGGGACACATTAGTGCAGTCATCCCTCAGTATCTGCAGGGGATTGGTTTCCAGGACCCCCGCCCCTTCCCCAATAACAAATTCCTTGGATGCTCAAGCCCCTGATATAAAATGATGTAATATTTGCATATAACCTATGCTCATCTCCTATATATTTTAAATCATCTCTAAGTTATTTATAGTACCTAATACAATATAAATGCTATATAAATGGTTATTATACTGAATTGGTTTTTATTAGTATTTTTAAAAATCTTATTTGTATTATTTTTTATTGCTGTTTTTGTTTGTTTGTTTGTTTTGTTTTGTTTGAGACAGGGTCTTGCTTTGGGCCCAAGGGCGGTGGCATGATCATAGCTCACTGTAACCTCAAACTTCTGGGCTCAGGTGATCCTCCTGCCTCAACCTCCCAAGTAGCTGGGACTACAGGCCAGTGCCACCATGCCTGGCTAAGTTTTCTATTTTTATAGAGACAGGGGTCTTGCCCTTGCTCGAGCTGGTCTTGACCTCTTGACCTAAAGCCATCCTCCCACCTTGGCCTACCAAAGTGCTAGGATTATAGGGGTGAGCCACTGCACCCAGCCTGTATTGTTATTTTTATTGTTTTTGGTTTTTTTTCTGAATATCTTAGGTCCTCCCTTGGTTGAATCCGAGGGTGTGAAACCTGCAGATACAGAAGGCTGACTGTATATACATTTGGATTATAACCAGCTGTTGGCCCAGGAGCTGTGTAATAGGACTCTAATATTATACAGGTGATTTATTGCAATGACTAGTTTCAGTGTAGTAAATTTTAGCCATCTTCTTAGGGTATAAAATTGATAGGATATTGTGGTGTATGTTAAGGAGAAATAGCGTTAACCTAATCAGGTTAATCAGGAAACCTAATCAGGAAAATATGTGTTAACCTAACCAGTTAACAATTCATATCGACTCAGGACATGAATGGGAGGCTGAGGAGATTTTATTTAGCTGTAGGTAGCCCTAGGTTTTTGATCATGATAAAAAATTAAAACTAACATCAGGATGAGTAGTTGCTAGGAGAGATGGGATGTCTGAAGACCAGTTCGAGGGCTCTTAGAGTGGTCTGAAAGTAAGGTCATGATGGCCTTGAGAATGGAAAGGAGAAGACAGAGTCAAGGAATGTTTTGGAGATATAGTATGTAGAACTGTGCAATCAATTGTACCAAGGATGAAGAAGGCATTGTCTGAGATAAATATAAGATGGCAAGACTTCAGCAATACTTGGTTTGGCTAGAAAGATGATATGTACTTTGGAACATTTTGAATATGTGATTCTGAATGCTGGAGAAACCCATCATGTAGTTTTAAATGTAAATTTTCCATTTAGGAAGATTTATTAGTTTCCTTGGGCTGTTTTAACAAAGTATCACAAACTAGGTGGATTAAAATAACAAATTTATTTTCTTATAATTCTGGAGGCCAAAAGTTAGAAATCAGGGTGTCAACAAGTCTGGTTCCTTATTGGAGACTCAGTGGGAGAGAAATCTGTTTTATGTTTCTCTCCTAGCTTCTGGTGGTTGCCAGCAATCCTAGACATTCTTTGGCTGTAGAATATCACTCCAATCTCTGCCTCTGTTGTCCTCACATGGTCATCCTCCCTCTGTGAGCTTGTGTCTAATATTGGATTCAGGGTCTACCCTGCTCTAGTATGATCTCATCTTACCTAATTACCTTTTTGGTGACCCTATTTACAAATAAGGTCACATTTTGAGCCTCTGGGAAGGACATGAATTTTGAGGGTGGGGGAACACCATTAACCCAGTGCAGAAGGCTAGAGTTAGAAATCTGGAATTCTTTTGCGCAGTATGGATCTGGAATACTAAGGGAATGTGAGCTTACTGAAGGAGAGAATTAATCACAAAAGAAGTATAGGCTGACATTCCTACAGGATAGATGAGACACAAAACAGGTTTCATATAAAAATAGATAGATATAGATAAGGAGGCCATGAGAAATGTGGGCTGAAATATAGTCATTGAGGTGGAGCTACAGCTGGACCTCAAAGAGTAGGAAAGCTTTAGATAGGCAGAGCTAGGCAGAAACAACTAGAAGCAGGGAGATTAATATCTTGAGGAAAGGTAATGACCTATTTGGAAACTAATTGGGCTGGAACAGAAGGTTTGAGTAAGAGTTGGGCTCAGCCAGGTGTATGGAACATCTTAACTATATTAAGCAAAACAAAAAAAAATCACTTTTATTATGGGAAATTTCAACTTATACAAATGAAGGAGTATAATGAACTCCTGAGTACTCATCATTCAGTTTCAGCAGCCACTCTTTTTTCCTATAAAGTCCCTTCCTCCTCTCTCCATCCTTTATTTTGAAGCAAATCTCAGACATTTTAGATTGTGCATTTTTGACTAGCCTGTATAATCAAAAGAAAACATTAAAGGTTTCTGAGCAGGTAATGCATGTGATCAAAAGAAATTGAAGACATTCAGATTTTATTTGGAAAGCAATGAAAAGTAGAAGAGGGAGAGGGTTTATCACATCATTGATTATTCTCATCTTTTGTTATTTCTTTCATTAAGGTGTGCAGGATTTTTGTTCCAGAAAGTTGGAAAGCTTGCAGCAACTGCAGTAGGTGGTGGCTTTCTTCTCCTTCAGGTATGTCAGAGCTTTAGGCACTTGTCTCTGCTTACATAGGAAGCCCTTGGGAACTGAGAAAGTCAAGTTTAGCTATTACACTACTGTCCCATTTTTTTAAAAAAAAGTTTTTGTAGAGATGGGGTCTTGCTACATTACCCAGACTGGTCTTGAACGTCTCGTCTCAAGCAATCCTCCTGCCTCCGCCTCTCAAAGTGCTGAAATTACAGGTGTGAGCCACCATGCCCAGACACTCTTGTCCATTTTAATAAAAGATGGAATTTTTCTCTTAGGCATCAGTTTATGGAAAAACTATAATGAGTTTTGAAAGCTGGCATGTCTTGAAAGGCGACAATTTAAATATTTCTAAGTTCCTTAAGCATAGTTTGATTCCAGCTATTAAAAAGATAACTATTAAAATTTGAAGTGCCTCATGTTTTTATTACTTACCCAGATTTCCCTTCTAGCATCTCCCTAGCAAAATAAACATTTCAACACATAGTATATAAAATGCAAAAGGTCTCTTTTCTGTTTCCTGGCCATGCAGTTTTTCTCCCCAGAGGAAAGTACTGCTAGCAATTTCTACCATTTTTCTTTTAACTAGAGAACCATAATAATATAGAAAGTGGAAAATTGACTTTAAAAAAATCATCTATAATTCTGTTCCTGTGGCAGGTAGATTTGAAATTTTAGTTTTGTTCATGTTCCTCTAAGTATGAGGTCTAAAAATGCTTTGTCATTATAAAATGTTTATCAGGATACTATCTGGCATTCATGTCTGTTTGGCATATATTTTTCCAAAAATATCATTCTCTGAAGATTAAATATAGTAAATCCAAACATTGAAAATCCTTGGGAATGAATGTTAGCAACAATTTTAAAGATACAGAGAACTGTCAGTTGTACCAGATTTTAAAAATGATTGATGTTCATAGCAACCAAAATCTGACTTTAGCAACTAAGCCATTGATCATATAATAACTAGTAGTTGCCTTAAGTACAAAGGAACTGGATTCGTATGTGTTAAGCAAAGATTTTTGAGTTGTTTACTAAACAGCCTTTTAAAATACATAATATTCTTTCTCTTATGACATTATTGGGAATAATTGCTTATTAATTGTGGTAAGAGGTGAAAAAGAATATGATTAATATCTAAATTTCGTTCTTTAGATGAATATGCCAGCCTTTGTGCGGTAGAGAATTTTATTTAAGCTGATTTTGACTTGAGTTTGTATAGAATCAAGAACATATTTAATTCTATAACTGTTTTGAAAATTCAGTTGTCATTTATGTTTAGTGCAATAGGGTACAGGACTGAAGCAGAGTTTCCTAAAATATTCACAGAATAGAGAGAATTGTATATTTTAATTTACTCTGCATGTCAATTTTTCAGAAGTCCATTTTGGTTCACTTAATATGCGCCATTCAAATCCATGTTTTGCCATTGCCATTTCCTACTTTCCTGTGTGTAGTCCTCGTATTCTTTGAAGTCTCTAAGGCAGAAGAACACAGGCCCTGTCTGCATCAAACCAATTTTTCCCACAAATATAACTAGCCTTGAAAATTCAGTAGAAGGAAAGTGAAAGTGGAAATAGAGTAACAAATGGCTTTTAGACTAGTTGCCATCAATATTTTTATGACTTTATATTTTAAGATAACTGTTAGCTTATTTAGAACTTACAGTTTTTATAGTAATAATAGTGTTTTCCAGTAGATATTTATCACACTGCCATCTTAAAATAGACGATGGTATAGGTATTAACTATTGGCTTCCCACTATGGAATATGATAATTTATCATTTATTGAACTGTTCTTCTGTTCTCTGCACACATCCCCCCATCTCACACACCTGAATGCTTTCTGCCTCCTCCCCCCACATCATCTTAGTATTGTTATTTCATAATTGCGTTAGATCATTACTTGGAATTCACTGAACTTCTTGAATCTGTGAATTTATGTCTTTAACCATCTTTGGGAAGGTTTTTGACTGTTATTTCTACAAGAGAGTTTGGGATTACTTTAGCCAACTCCTGGTTGTCTAAATCTCTTTTCATTGTCCTCATATGCATCAAATAGTTTGTCAGTTTAATCTTCTGGACAAACTTGGTCCCAGAGTCCTTTGTTCTGCTTGTTTTCTAGGCCTTGTGTACAGCTCTTATCCTGGGATCTTCCTTCAGTACCATTCTGAATATTCCCTTTGTTTTTGTCTTGGGTTGTTTCCTATATCTTGTGTCTTCTTGGGTATATTCTCTTGTTTTGGTGGGACATGTCCTCCAATAACTTTTGGAGAAAATGAGCACAGGAAGTGTAGTTTTTGAGACTTTGCATGTTTGAAAATTTCTTCATATTCACATTTGATTGATAATTTAGCTGGGTTTGCTCCATTGTCTTCTGACTTACGGTGTTACTGTTAAAAGTCTAAAGTAATTCTAATTCCTAAACCTGTGTGTGTGTGTGTGTGTGTGTGTGTGTGTGTGTTTCCTCACTAAATTCTTACAGGATTTTCTTTTTGTCCCCATGTTCTGATTTTTTTACAGTGATATGCCTTGCTGTGGGCCTATTTTTCAGTTTGGGGAAATTTTCTTTCTCTCTCTCTCTTTTTTTTTTACTTTTTTACTATTTTATTTTATTTTATTTTATTTTTGAGACAGAGTCTCACTCTGTTGCCCGAGCTAGAGTGCCATGGCGTCAGCCTAGCTCACAGCAGCCTCAAACTCCTGGGCTCAAGCGATCCTTCTGCCTCAGCCTCCTAAGTAGCTGGGACTACAAGCATGTACCCCCATGCCCGGCTAATTTTTTCTATATATTTTTTAGTTGTCTGACTAATTTCTTTCTATTTTTAGTAGAGATGGGGTCTCGCTCTTGCTCAGGCTGGTCTCAAACTCCTGAGCTCAAGCAGTCCTCCCACCCAGAGTGCTAGGATTACAGGCGTGAGCCACCACGCCCAGCCCCCTTTTTTGGGGGGGGGGGAGACACAGAATTTTACTCTGTCACCCATGCTGGAGTTCAGTGGCATAATCAGAGCTCACTGCAGCCTCGAACTCCTGCCTCAAGCCCCTGGGGGAAATTTTCTTAATATTTATTTAGTTAATGATTTCTTGCCTTTTATTTTTTTCTCATTTTTCTTTCTGTAGTTCCTGTTATGTGGATCTCTTGGACTGGTTGTCTAATTTCTCATTTTTTCTTTCCAATTTTCCAGTTCTGTCTTTTTGGTCTACTTTATGGGAGATGACTTCAACTTTATCTTCTTACCATCTTACTGAGTTTTCTTTTCGGCTCCATATTTTTAATTTCCATGAGCTCCTTTTTTGTTTGTTTCTTTTCTTGATGTGACTTTAGCATCTTGTTTCTTGTTCTTCCTTCATGGATGCAATACCTTTTTTTTTTTTAATAGATTGGAAAAGGTGGAATGTATTTATTTTGTGTAACTTGTCTTCCCTCAACCCATCATTTCAACCAATGCAGTGGTTAGAAGACAGTCCCTTCAATAAGACCTTTAGAAATACATTGTATCCTAGAATACTAGCATCTTTGGAAACCATTTTAATTCCATGTCTATAGACTGAGAAGGTTGGTGAGAGATGGTGTAGTTGTCCTCTATAATTTGAAGATAGAATGTTCTTAAAGAGTGGCAGAGACTGAAAGTTTCCCTTAGATCATCAGAAGCTAGTTTGAAATGATTGCCTCAATAGACAGCAGAGTGTTGATCCAAAGGGTCTGTCCTGCATGGAATTCTTAGCATCTACACAGAATATTCATCTAGCAGTTTATTTTTTCAGTTTCATAAACTCCACTGCAGTGACTAGCTATTTATACACATCTTTGCACACTTGTCTAAGATAAAGCAAATATATATATGTAAGCCTTTTGATTGTCAGGTGACCTTCTAGAAAGTCTGCATCCATTACATTCCCACCAACCCTATATACAGAATCTACCAGCTTTCCCCCCTTTCCATACTGTATGGTATTCTTTAGAAGGAAGTCACTCTATATAGCCCACACATCAGGAGTAGGAGTTATTTAGAAATTTTCTGCTAGAAGATTTTTCTCTTCTCCATTTATTTATTCAATCATTTATTTATATCAGTATGGACTCATAGATATTGATTTTATACTTTGGGTTATAATCTAATACTGTTTTATTGCTCAGATTGTTCCAGCTTTGGCCATTGGGAGCTCTTTCAGTTGTACATTACCTTTTTAAATCTCTTTGAGGACATAAATGATCAATTTTTTAAAACTTCTTCCTGTAAAATCTCTGTTCCTCTAAGTTTTTTTTTCCCCTCTTCTCTTCTTTGTTTATTTTGGTCTCTAGTTTTTATGTTAGATGCCTTTCTCCATGCCTGATGATTCTTGGTTGTCTGTTCAAATTTAAGAATTGAGCGCTAAAAACTGCTGAAAGCTCTAAATGTGTATATGGGGCTTTTCCTTCTCTGGGAAATCTGACCAGTCCAAGAAAAATAATCTAAAGTTATAGAGTTGGAGGTGGGGGGAATTTCCTCCAATGAAATGGCCTAGGTAGATCACCATATGGTAAGGTTCACAAGCAAAAAGCCCCATCTACCTGTTTAGAGCTTTCTGGTAGACATGAATCTTTATTGAAAGCCTGGCATTATTTTTAACTTGGAAGCTTTTATTCTAATGAAGCCACTTTACCTAACTCCATTAAATATTTTAATGTTGTAGGATAGTCAAATGTTGTTCAAAAAGCAGTTATCACTTCCCCACCCTCTCCCCAATTCATTGGCTTGCATTTCCCTGTAATTGATGAGTTCTGGGTGGACAAGACTGAATTGGGTCCTGTGTGGTTGGTCAGTTCTTAGAAGGTATTATTTGTTCATGAGGTTGGATGTACCTGAATCCCACTGGGGGGGGGGGTGCAGATTGCTTTCCTTGGTCATCTCTGCATTGGAGCATGCTGCTCAATTTGGACTGGTATTCTTCAGTTTGACCAGATCTGCTTCCAAGGAAGCATAGAAGTGAACTTCTTAAGGAAATTTGTTCAACAATACCAGATTACTCCAGCATAGATAGAGATTTAGTCTTTACTTACTGTCTTTTATTATCATTCATTCGATTTGTCTCATTTATCTGTTTGCCTGGCATTTGGGGGGATGCTAAGAGATTCACAGTCCACTGGAAGAGCTAGGTATTGAGAAATAAATTTAATGATCTGGTCAGTGTCAAGCTAGAAGGGTATCTGCTTGAAGGTGTTGGGCAAGGAGAACCCAGAGAGGCATAAATATTGTTAGCATCTCATGTTTTTCATTTTCCCTGCAGCTGTTTGACATTTTCCCCCAAAACATTGAAGATTAAACTATGCAAAATCTTTATCTCAGATAAGCTCATATTTATAAATTTTCACTGACAAATGGCTGTGTAAAAATATTTTTATATAGTGTATAGAACGCTGTTTGTGAGGATTTGTTTAACCTGTCTCATTAAATGGCTTCCTTTATTCATTTGCTGGGGATGGGGGGTACATAAGGGGTCACCTAGGGAATATAATTGAAGTTTTTTGTTTATTTTATCACCAATATAACTCATGGGATTTTTAAAAGATTTCATAATTTAAAATGTTAAGCTTGAAAATGACAGTTGAATTGGGGTTTGCTGATGAATGGTGGCATAGATAATAATTTTGTTTTTTTCTAACCATAAAATAAAGCCATATACATACATGAAATGTTTGTACTTCTCACAAGCTTTGGCTTGAGTAAGAAGATGTTTTGAAATTCAGCAAAAAGTGAAACTGCAAAAGCGTCAAAGTAATCAACTAATTTGATTACTTACTGCAAGTAAGTTATAAGTCTTTTCAATTTATATGCAGGAAAGGCTCCTTTCTGTAAGGTTCATCATCACCTCCACGTCTGTAACTCAAATTGCTGTGTCAAATACTACGACAAAAAGCTTTCACTTGTCATTGGATTTGATCACCACTGTGTTTTGCTGAGGGTGGAGTTTGAAGTAATAGGTGAATAAATACAGGAAGAAATGTAGATAAATAAATTCTTCTATGGAGTCACACTCACAGAGAAAATAGAACCTAAGATTTCCAGTCAACCTATTTATATAAAATCAGATATTTTTATTATTTAATCTATTTTATGTGTAGATAAGTCTCGGTGTTGCATTAAAAGATTACAAAGAAAGTATAAGCTTGATGAAGTGATTTATAATCATATATGGCTTAATTGTGTACTACTCACGTGACTATATTTTGATCCTATTATTTGGAGGCTCTGACTTGCTGTACTGGCTTATACGTATGCTATTGTTCCTGTTTGGATTTTGCAGTGTCTCAGTACCACCATATGAGGGTTTTTCTTATTAATAGGCATTTAGCTATAGTTTTATTTAGTTTTATTAAAAGTGTTTATGGCATGAAACTTGTATAGAGCATATTTCTTTTATACTTATAAAAGCAATTATCAGAAAGTATTCTTAAGAGTCAGAGTTAGTGAAGGGCTTTTATCAGGCTACTTAAATTTCTTTAGTGACCTAATAACTGATTGGCTCATCATGACCCCTTATAATTAAATATCTATTTAATTAAAAGGTATTTCTTATTAGCTATATAATCTGGATAGTTTTGGTATCTTTTTAGCTAATTTCCTATTCTAAAAGTATGATAGATGATAGTACAGTTATAATACAGTTTTTGGAATCTTTTTTTCCTTACTGTATTCAACACAGTGTTCATCATATCTAAGTAGTTACTTATGCTTAATATCTGTTTTCCCTAACAGACCTGAAGCTGTCTCAGGGTGGAAACTTATGTCTCCCATATTCAGTGCTTGGCACAGAGTAGGCACTCAGTATCTGTTAGATGAATAAATTAGTGAATAAAAAGCAATTTCTTGCTTATTAGTTTCATAGATTTCTTGAAATCTAATTGTTCATATATTCTTGGGTAATTGATTAGTTAGTAACATAGTTGGTTTAGAATTAACTGTTTTTATTACATTTTGCAGGTTGCCAGTCACAGTGGCTATGTGCAGATCGACTGGAACAGAGTTGAAAAAGATGTAAATAAAGCAAAAAGACAGATTAAGAAACGAGCAAATAAAGCAGCACCTGAAATCAACAACATAATTGAAGAAGTAAGATGATATGCACTTTTGGCTCCTTTTCTTTGTTTGTTTTTGTTAATGGGCTCACTTAGCAGAAAATGCGACTGGGGATTACCTTCCTTTTTTAAAAAAAATGATCTTTTGGTTATATATTCAGAGTGTGTTAATTTGGGATCAAGCCACCATTTAAATCAGTCATTATTATTATTATTATTATTATTTTTTGGTGGTTAACTTAGATTCTCCTGCCCATCTCCCACCCATTTCTATCTGCATGTAAAAGCTGAAAACATTATTTTTCCAAAATTTTTTCTCTGTTTTTATAAATGTGTACATGTACAGTGCATAGAGATGTACTAAAAACTACTCTTTTTCTCTATGGAAAGCAATATGGAGATACCTTAAAGCAATACAATTAGATCTACCATTTGATCCAGCAATCCCATTACTGGGCATCTACCCAAAAGATCCAATGACACTCTACAAAAAAGACACCTGTACTCAAATGTTTATAGCAGCACAATTCATAATTGCAAGGCTGTGGAAACAGCCCAAGTGCCCATCAATTCATGAATGGATTAATAAAATGTGGTATATGTATACCATGGAGTACTATTCAGCTCTAAAAAACAATGGTGATATAGCACCTCTTGTATTTTCCTGGATAGAGCTGTAACCCATACTACTAAATGAAGTATCCCAAGAATGGAAAAACAAGTACCATGTATACTCACCAGCAAATTGGTATTAACTGATCAGCACCTAAGTGGATGCATAGGAACTACATTAATTGGGTATTGGGCAGGTGGGACGGGGGAGGGGGGCAGGTACATATATACACAATGAGTGAGATTTGCACCATCTGGGGGATGGTCACACTTGAAGCTCAGACTCGTGGGGGGAGGGGAGCAATGGCATTATTTGAAACCTTAAAATTTGTACCCCCATAATATGCTGAAATAAAAAAAAAGAAAAAAAACTTTTTTTGAAGTAGAATAGTTTGAAAATGTATATATTTTATCAATGTGATTAATATATTAGTTTTCTTAATGTTTTTATGTATATTTCGTCTTTTTTGTACTCTGTTTAAAATTGAATTGAATACTTCCTTGCCTTTGTTTTTGTTTTATCCTTTTACCTCCCTCAATTTTTTAGTTTGAAAATTTCAACCAAGTTGAAAGGTAAATAGAGTGAATACCCAAATACCCTTCACCTATTCACCAAGTTCACATTTTGCCACATTTGCTTTATAAACTGTGTGTGGGTGAGATTTACATATTTTTGCTGAACTATTTAATATGTCATGACTTTTCACTCCTAGATACTTCCCTGTGTATCTCCTAAGAATATGGATATTCTCCTACACAACTACAAATACCATTATTACTCTTAAAAATACTTAACGTGATATAATAATATTTTATAATATATAGTTCATATTAAAATTTTTCCACAAAATATCTTTTATGGCTTTTTTTCCTAATTAAGAATTATGTATTACATTTGGTTGTCATGTCTCTGAAGTCTCCTCTAGTCTTAAACAGTCTTCTCATCTGGGGTTTTTCACTCTCATCTTTCATGGCATTTAAAGCCTCTAGGCAGAATATATCATAGTCTGGCTTTGTCTAGTGGCTTCCTCATGAGTTTTTTTGGATTAAACATTTTATCAAAGTGATTTTTAATCATGTACATTTTTTCTTACAGGCTAAATGGACTAATAATAAATATAATTGTGCCTGCTGTGACAATTTATTATATAATTTGTGTTAATAAGTTGGTCGTGAACCACTTATATCTGTCCTATAGGTAGATTTCTTTTTACCTGTGAGGTTATTTCTGCCCATATGCTTATTATCTCTGTGGCCAAGTAGCTTACTGGGCCTAGCTGTGTCCTGTAGGCCCCTTCTGTTTGTAATGGACATTTCTGGGATTTTGTGTGGTGTTTGGCACCTGCAGTAGTAGGTTCACAGGAATTTTTGCTGAATATTTATCGAATTGAAGAAAATAGCTAAAATTGTTACTTAACTCTGGATTCAGTAACTAAGAGTTTGTTTTTTAAATTTCCTTTTTTTTTATTGTGGTAAGATATATATAACATAAAATGTATCATTTTAAACATTTTTAAGTACAATTCAGTAGCATCAAGTACATTCACACTTCTGTGCAATCATTACCACTATCTGTTTCTGGAACTTTTTCATCATCCCAAACTCTGTGCCCATTAAACAGTAATTCCCGCAATTTCCACCTTTCCCTGGCCTTTATAATCTCTATTCTACTTTTTAACTCTGAATTTGATCATTCATATAAGTAGAATCATATAATATTTGTCCTTTTTTTGTCTGTCTTATTTTACTTTGCATAATGTTTTCAAGGTTCATCCACATTGTAGAGTAATTAAGAGTATTTTTGTTTAAACTTTGTTTCAGGCCACAGAATTTATCAAACAAAACATCGTGATATCCAGTGGATTTGTGGGAGGCTTTTTACTAGGCCTTGCATCTTAAGGACATGGATGGATGTTCTACTATAGTGGATTCAGTAAGGAGAAGTGGTGGCAACAAGGTGGTGGTCTCTCAACAGTATGTGCTACCAGAGTCTCCAGGGAAAGGAGAAACAACTAGCTGGATAATACTAAATCCACAACTTAGCATTTTGCCATCTGAAGCTTGGCAAACTTGTATCTGCTGTTAAACAACCTATATGTTATGTGAACAATAATAGTATTCCTGAGCAAAACATGGCTTTCATCATTTTTTAAAAATTTGTGTCTGTTTAGAAATTAGCCTATAAAATACCACTATTGGGTGTAGATATGAAGAGAAAAAAAATCTGTTGGATTGAAATATGATTTTATTTAAATAAGATGTTCTTCATTGTGTTTTATGGTATAGTGCCAATAACTAAAAATTTGTATTATAGCTTTAATATTAGGGCTGACTTTTTGTTTTTAAGATATGTTTTCAATAAGTTGAAGAACTGTAATGCCATTTTGTGGAAAGCTTTAGAAAGAATATAATTATTAAAGATATTAAACAAATTCTACTGACTTAATTTAATATCAATTTAAGTTGATTTTTTTTCCTGCAGTTCTTATATAATAACTGTACATTTCAAAAAAGGTCTTCTAAGGGAATACTACATGTCTAAAGCTCTTTTCCCTTTTTTTGGTATCTGTCCTTTTTTTTGGTATTTGTAATTTTAAAAGTACCTTCTTATGTGTAAGCTTATAATTTTTTTGTTTATCCTGGCAGCCTGGGCAAAGCCAATTACTTTGAGGGTACATATAGTTGAATCACTGATTCATCTTATCAACCTTTTCTTTCTGAAAGATCCTAATTGGCCCCTTATTCACTGAGAGGTAAAAATCACTTTAAAATACTTAGTAGTATAGTGTGAATTTGCTGTCTGAAGAACGGTGATTTTCTATGTAATGAAATTGTAGCTTAAAGAGAACTGTCTCCTTGATCTAGTCTGAGATGTTAAGTACCGAGGCTTTCAGACTTTTGGTAACATTATGTTGGTTGAACACTAGGTCAGTGTACTTGTTTCTCAGAGCCAATATCACACTTTCCAGAGGCTCATTTGCCCAAAAAAGCTTTCTGTATTGTTTGTTTTGTCTGTAGAGCTCTAGGTTGGAATTGGGAAAAACAGTAGAATGTGTATTGAAGTGTTCAGATTGGAAAGACTTTGCAGATATTCAGACCATTTCCTTTTGACAGGAAGTCCCCATAGTATATTTTCTATCTTATAAATACATGACACTGCATACTTTCAAGATTGGTTACAGGCTGCATGCTTTCATAATCATGAGACTTCTTAAAATTGAATGTGGGATTGATCTTTAGTTTCTTCTTGTATTATCATTAGTGCCTCAGATATAATGCTAAATAAAATTCAGACTTTCTTAAGATGAAGTGATTTTGCTTATAAATACTTGTTTTTTCTTCTTTGAGCTTTTCTCTATTTCTGCCTTGCCAAGCACAGCTTTTCATTGCTGTGGGATTAAAAAGGGAAAATATTCATAAATATGATCAGGTCATATTAGGTAGAGCCTAGGCTGGACTTCTGTGTGCCGCTTACACTTCAGCATGATGCTGTGATACAGTGAGGCAGGCTACTGTGGGGAGCTCTAGTAGCTGGCTCAGTTTGTTCATTTTGAAAATACAATGTATGTTCTGTGCATGATACACTAGGAAAGTGGGGAGCACAAAAATGTCTGCCCTTGAGCTTTCAGTTGAAGACACTAAAATATTCCTATATGAATGGTTATATAATAATATAGGAGAACCTGGCAATATGACCTAGTGGCAAATGAAGAGTTGGGATAACTACTATGAGAGTCCAAACATAAGAATGAAAATTGAAAAAGGTAGCACTTCATTTTTGCCTATTTATTTCTCATTATCTGTTGTAATATTTGAAAATATTTGTATGCAAGTACAAAATATTACCAGTACTCTCTGTACTATCCCATCTCTGTTGGTATTCCTCGTTGTGCCTCCTGTCTATGCTGTATCTCTGTGTGGCAATCTGGTGAATCAGAGGCTTGCTTGCAATGAAACGCCTGTATAGCCTGCCTTTGTTTAAAGTGGATATTTTTATGTTGGAGGGCATAAAGGCTGTTTGCAATATTTATTAAAACTTGGATATATGGAATGTATCTATTTTGAGACCTAAGCTTTGAAAGATACGTAGGGGCATTTTGACTGATTTTATTTTTATTCTTATAGCCTTTCCCATTTCCCCTTTTCAATGTGTTTTCTTACTTCAAATATAATATGAATGAAATGTTCATTATAGAAAAATAGATCAGCATAAAGAATATATAGAATGTTTATAATATGTACTTAGGGATAATTATTTTTCATATCTTGGTGTGTAGCTTTTGGAGTCTTTTTTATCTGTGCATGAGCACGTGTATATTGTATAAAAATTGAGTCAGAGTTTATGGACTTTTTTTCACCTACCTCTCTTACACAGAAAAGTACTACTTTACAAGTCAGCTATTTTTAGTTATATATTATAAATATCTTTTTATAATAACAGGTACATACATGACAACAGAAAGGTATAACATAAGTGCCTACCCTCATCCCCTTTACGGAACAACCATAGTTGTCTTGAAATAGATTTTAATATACTTACTTTTATTGTCAAAGTTTGGATAGTGTATATTGAATGTCCACTCTGAAAGGTGAAAAATTTTGTGTACATATATGCAGGACTTTTGTTTGTTTTGATTGCTAATATGTTTTAAGTTTGTCTAATGGCTGCCTTTATTACTTTAAATATCGTACATTAATTTTTCAGTCTTTATTTACCAACTTTAGGTAATATCTGTTAATTCCCTATAATGAAAGATGAAGACAATAGAGCCTCTCTTCCCTCCTAGTCTTTATTAAATTATTATTACTAAATTATATATTCAAATCCTAGAATTTTATATAATTTTTTTAAGAGATGAGATCTCACTGTGTTGCTCAGGCTGGAGTGCAGTGGTTATTCACAGGGGTGAACATAGCACACTACAGCCTTGAACTCCTGGGCTCAAGCGATCCTCCCGCCTGAGGCCTCCTGAGTAGCTGTGTGCCACCACACCTGGCTCTATTTATTAAGAGCAATGTAAAGCTGTATACATTGATCTAAAATGATATCCACATGTTAGTAATAAAATCAGGTTACAACCAGCTCTTGCATTTTTTGGAAAAAAATACCCAGGTGAGAGTAAGTTTGCACACAAATGTTCATAGTGGTTATCTCTAAGAGGTTGGTATATAGGATTTTTACTTTTTTTCAACAGTTTTATATTGAGTGCATGTTAACTTATAGTTAGAAAAAGTTATTGTTTTAGAACCAGGAATAGGGATTTAAAATTATTAGGTTATTGCTATCTTAGGAGGCTTTTTCTTCTTTTCTGCTTCATGGAATTTATTTTTTAAGTTTTAAAAAATTTTTAAATTATTTATTTATTTAGAGACAGGATCTTGCTATGTTGCCCAGGCTGGTCAACTCCTGGCCTCAAATGATCCTCCCACCTCAGCCTCCCAAGTAGCTGGGATTACAGGCATGAGCCACTGTGCTTGGCTATTTTTAAAGTTAATTTTATCAAAATATTGCACATAGTTCAAAAAAATCAAATACTTATTATAAGGCTTCTAAAGAAAAAGAACACTTCTCTGTTCCACCTGTCTCTAATTTAGTGGCTTTTTCCCCAGAGAAGTTTCAACTATATTAGTTGTTTCTTTTGGTAATTACTACAACCATATTTTTTAGACTTTCTATTATGATAAATGACTTAGACTTCCTATTATGGTAGATGTGGATTTAGCTCTATTAACACCTTCCCTTTCACATCCTTTATAGTAACAATTTATTAAATTCCTATAAAATTTTATACATTATGACAAATACTGTTTACTGTTGCATAAGGACACAGCTTCCTATAAGTCCCCTTATGTGGGTTCAGCTGGAATCTAACCTTGACCTGATCCTGCAGATAGCTCTGGAGCAGTATCTGCAGATACTGTGGTCGGTAGAATGATGGCCACGTCCTAATCCCCTGAACCTGTGAATAAGTTAGGTTACATGGCAAAGGGGAATTCAGGTTGCAGATGGAATTAAGGTTGCTAATCAGCTGACCTCAAACAAAGAGATTATTCTGGATTATCTAGGTGGGCCCAATGTAATCACAAAGGTCCTTAAAAGAGGAAGAGGGAGGCAGAAGAGAGAGTCAGAGAAAGAGATGTGACTACAGAAGAATGGTCAGACAGATGTCATGTTACTGGCCTTGAAGATGGAGGAAGGGGGCCATGAGTTAAGGGATGCTTGTGGCTACTTGGAGCTGGAAAAGGCAAGATAACAGAATGTTCCCAGAAAGGAACACAGCTCTGTTGACACCTTGACTTTAGCCCAGTAAGGCCCATGCCAGACTTCTCCTCCAGACCTCTAAGATTATAAATTTGTGTTGCTTTAAGCCATTAAGTTTGTGGTAATATGTTACAGCTGCACTAGACAACTAATAGAGGCACCGCGGAGTTGTCCCCACTGTGGCAAGGGAGGCTGGCTTTTTGTATCTCCTGGCAGGCATTGGCTGCAGTGTGCCCTCAGGGATTAGGATGGGTAACCTCCCAGCTAGGGAGGCCTTGTCCTGAGGGAAGCAATTCTCAGAATGGGATAACTGTCAGCTAATACTAGAGCTGGCCAGTTGGTGTACTGTCCCAATAAAAGGGATCTGGATGGGGCACCAACAGTCTCCATTATAGGGGGTAAATCTAAGCCAATACTGCATGTGTGAAATAATAGTTATGTCTATTCAGTCAGTGGGGGAGGGAGAGGACAATAAAACAAGTGTAGAACTGTAATATTTGGAGTTGTGGTGTAAAGTCCTTGTGTTGTTCCAAAATATAATGATTAACCTTAGATTTTTGAGTGTGTATGCATGTTAAAATTTTAAGGTCAGTCCCCAAGCGCATTACTATTAGTTGTGAACAAATACATTTCAAACATATAAATAAGCAATCCCATCTAAATGAAGGCAGGAAAGAAGAAAGAAGCATAGAGAAAGCAAGATAAAGAAGAAGCATAAAAGAAGATGGCAAAAATAAATCCAAATATAGCAGTAATCACACTTCAAAAGAAAAACATGAACAGAATTTGAAATGTGATTTTTTTTTCTTTTTTTTTTAAACACATTTGATTTGCTCGGAGCACAATGACTTTATATAAACATCATTCTGTGTAGAATCAAGAAGTGGGCTTAGCTCCATAGAAAAGGAAATGTTTATAAAACTTCACCATTCAATGGAGAATTCTCCAGGTGTCAAGATATAATAAAGCCTCTTAATTTTTTTCTAATTTTCCTGTCCCCACCTCCAATCTGGGATAGACTTCAGCACCTACTGTTTCTTATATTTCATGTCATCTTGTTTCTTGGATTACTTATATTTTTGGTTAAACTATTTTCTTGAATAATTCTTACGGAATGTGGATGGTAATCTTTCCCGAGTTCTTGTGTGTCTTATAAATCTTTTGTTCTCATGCAATTCAAGATTGACAATATTTTTCCCTTAGAATTTTGAAGACATTGCTCCATTATATCCTAGTATCTTAGAATTTGATGTTGCATTATGTCATTCTGATTTTGAACCTGAGTAACCTTTTTCCTTTGAAAGCTATGTGGATTTTTTTCTTTTTCTCTTATTTTTTTTGAGACAGAGTCTCCTCTCACTCTGTTGCCTGGGCTAGGGTGCTGTGGCGTAAGCCTAACTCACAGCAACCTCAAACTCCTGGGCTCAAGCGATCCTCCTGCCTCAGCCTCCTGAGTAGTTGGGACCACAGGCATGTGCTACCATGCCCGGCTAATTTTTTTTCTATGTATTTTTAGTTGTCCAGCTAATTTCTTTCTATTTTTAGTAGAGATGGGGTCCCACTCTTGCTCAGGCTGGTCCCAAACTCCTGAGCTCAAACGATCCTCCCGCCTCGGCCTCCCAGAGTGCTAGGATTACAGGTGTGAGCCACCACGCCTGGCCCTGGATTTTTTTCTTTTACCTTGGAGTTTTTTTAATTTTGTAAATTTATCTCTAAGTGTGAGTTTTTAAAAACGGAATTAGAGAATTTTTTAAATGCATAGTAGTGTCCTTTTACTGTGCGTTCTTGTCATTACAGAGAAGATACACGTAACTAACATTTAAAAAAATTTAGAAACCGAGGCCATTGGAAGGGTTGAAACTCACTCCCTTGAGAGCCTAAAAATAAGCACTCGGCAAATATGAGAGGGAGGGATTCAGAATCATGAAATGAAACAGTAATTTCTGAGTTTTTTTTCTTTCATTATACTCAGCATTCTTTAGGTTTTTCATTCTGAAGAGTCATGTCTTTGTCTCAAGCAAATTATACTTTAAAAAAAAGACCTTAT